TCTGCAAAACAAAATTCAGCTCCCAGCAGTTTCTGCCTCGTCTTCCCACCTCTGGTCCTCAGCCTCGCAGGCGCTCCTTTCCCTCTCTGTTCCTTGCTAGGTCGCAGCCACGTCTATTTTAGCTGCATATCAGCTTGTGAAATAATTTTTAAATCCCACGTTAGCTCAACATTAAAAAAAACCAAAAAGTAAAAACAAATGAAGAATAAAAAAAGATGTGGAAAGCGGGAAGTTGAATTCTTTTTTTTTTTTTTCTTTTTTCTCTCAAACGTGCAAGTGGAAACTTTGCAATAATTGAAATGGGCTCGATCTGTTGGTACAAAGAGATATAAGGTCTTGCCTCCCTTCCTTCAATGTTTTTTTTTCCTTCTTTATTTTACTTCAGTTTTCTTTCTTCCTTTCTTCCTTTCTTCTTTCTTTCTTTCTTTCTTTCTTTCTTTCTTTCTTTCTTTCTTTCTTTCTCTTTCTTTCTTTCTCTTTCTTCTTTCTTTCTTTCTTTCTTTCTTTCTTTCTTTCTTTCTTTCTTCCTTTCTTTCTTCCTTCCTTCCTTCCTTCCTTCCTTCCTTCCTTCCTTCCTTCCTTCCTTCCTTCCTTCCTTCCTTCCCCTCTTTCCTTCTTTCCTTTCTCTCTTCCTCTCCGTCTTTCTCCTTCCCTACTCCTCTCCTCCTCTTTTTCTCCTTCCCTCTTCCCTTCTTTATTCCCTTCTTTCTCCCTTTCTCTTGCTCTCTGTTATCCTTTCCCTCCGTTCCCGCTGGTCCCTATGCGTACGGACACCCCCTCCCCGCTCCAGCCCGAGCGAAGTCTCCGGCAGCGGCGAGGAGCCCGAAGCCCCGAGCGGGGCCGTGAGAGCAGCCGCAGCCCCGGCACGAATCGCGGCGATCCCGGCGCAGGCCGAGCTCAGTGAGGCGCCGGGGCCGGGCCGGGCCGGGCCGCCCTCTCCGCGCCCTCCGGGGCCCCGCGGCGACCGGGCCGCCCCCGCACCGCGTCCCGGCGGCGGCTGCGGCCCCCCCGCGCCGAGCGGCGGCCCGGCCCTCCTCGCCGCGCTCGGCTCGGCGCGCTGGCGAATCAGAGAGTGTCGGAATCTATTGCCTTTGTCTGACAAGTCATCCATCTCCGGGGAGGCGGGCGGGGGGCTGAGGGCGCTGCGGCTTTTAGAGAGACACACACCGGGAGAGGAGGCTCCAGTCTCCGGCCCCGGCTCCTCGCAAGCACTTCCCGCTCGGGCGCAAGTCCGCCGGGCGCCGGAGCTTCCGCCCGGCCGAGAGGAGGGGCGCGCCCGGCCGCCGCTCGCCGCTTTCCCGGGGATTGCTACTCCAGCGCCAACTTAACGAACTGCCCCGGAGCCGAGCAGCAGCTGCAGGAGCGCCGCGGCCGCGCCGCCCGCCCCCCTCCCCGCCGCCGGGCCCCGGGCCCCAGCCATGCCCGCCGCCCGCCCCCCGGCGCCGCCAGCCCCGAGCCCCCGCCGCCCCCGCTGAGCGCCCGCCCGGGAAGCGCCGGCCCCGCGCCCCGGCCCGGCCGGCGCCGCTCCCGCGCTCCTCTCCCTCTGTCTGCTTTTCGCTTCGGTTTTATTTTTGTTTGCTTTCGTTTGCTTTGCTTTGGTTTGTTATTTTGGGTTTTTTTTGGTTTGTTTGTTTGTTTGCTTATTTTTTTCTCCCCTAAGTCTTGAAGTTGAGTTTTAGAGGCGACACGGCGGCTTCAGCCGATTTCTTCCCCTTCCTTTGCCTCCCCATGGATATGCACTGCAAGGCAGACCCCTTCTCAGCAATGCACCGTGAGTACTGGAGCCCGGCTCCTTCCGCTGCGCTGCCTCTCGTCCCTCCGTCCCTCCGTCCCTCCCCACCGGCCCCTGCCCTGCCCAGGTCCCCCTGCCCGCTCCCGGGCGGCACCGTCCGCCCCGCCCCGCGCTCCCGGGACCCGGCGCCCCGAGCGGCCCCGCGCCGCTGCCGGCCGCCCTCGGAAGATGCGGCGTTATCCCTCGCTCCTTTTGTTTTTGTCCCTTTCCATCGCCGTGGCTGGAGCAGGGGCTGCCCGCGACCTTTCGTGGATGCGAAATCAGATTTTTTTTCCTCGGGATTTGTTGGGGTTTGGCTTCGATTTCGTCTGTCAGTGGCAGATAGGCAAATAGATGGCAGTTCCACGCTCACGACAGCTCGGTCGTGGCGGCTCCGGGCCCCGGTTCGTGGGGTTCGTTTAAAGGCTGAGCTGCGGGAAAACGGGGCGTGATGATGCCGGGAACCGGGCGGCCTCGGGGCTGCACAGAGCCCCGCTCCTACCCGCTCACGAAACGCGTCCGCGATGGGCGATTAGAACGCATTGCTAGTGCCCGGGGAAGGGATCCGCGGTGTGTTTTCACTTTAGAGAGGCATTCTTTCTCTAAGCGAGGGCGAAGGGAAGCGAAGAGACCCTCTGCCAGGGCGCGTAGAGAGGGATGTTTGGGGGTTTTAATTTCATCGCACGGAGAGAAAATAATTCCGAGCTTTAAATTAAGGAACAAATACGAATACGAGGCCGAGATTGAGAGCATCCCGAGCCAAGAGATGAATAATTGAGAACGATTTGTAACTTCTGACACCGAAACTTTTGAGGACACGCCCTGCCCGCACAAAAACAAACCGAAAAGACACAAATTAGAAATGCTCCGAGTTTACCAAATCCGATTTTGCCGTGAGAATGAGCAGAGACGCAGCCACGGCCCGCTCCCCAAACGCTTGGCAGGACAGCTGTAGACAGCCGCCCTCCCGCTTCCCAATTAATCATTTCCAGCGCACATCGCCTCGGACGCAGCATTTAATTCGGAGAAGCGCACCGAGCGGCCCGCGGTAACTCGCTGCTTCAGCCCGCACGGCGCTGCTTCGCTCCGCGGCGGCCGCAGGAATTCCGCCTTCGGTGCGGTGCGCTCGGAGCGGGCGGGCAGCCGGGAGCGGCAGCCACGGCACAGCCGTTCGTTGCTCGGAACTCAGCGGCGCTCGGCAACGATTTGGGCTTCCGATTAAATTCACACTAACGATAATAACAATAATAAATCTACGTTCGTTTCGCTCCCCACGCCGTATTTTCAGACGTATAGGCGTAGGGATCGGTAAGCGGCCGAACCCCCCGGGCTGAGGCGCTGAGCGGCGCGGCCCGGCCCGGCCCGAGCCACGGCAGCCCGGCCGCTCTGTGCGCGATGTCCGCCCCGCCGGGAGCTCCCGGGGCCGCCCCGCATCCCGCCCCGCATCCCGCCCTGCATCCCGCCCCGAGCCCCGCACGGCGCGCTGTGAGCGAACGCCGCTCCTGCGAGGCACGGCCGCGGTGCAAGAATTTGAATTATTAATTTTTAATCTTTTTTGCATCCGTTGCCCTTTAATACTTTGTAATGTGAGTTCTAAAAGGCCCTTTGAATTATTTATCGCGGAGTTGCCGAAGAAATTGCTGTCCTGTAACTTTAGAGGCAACATGTGCGGAGGGGCTCAGAACAAACGAAGGAACGCGGCACACGGCCGCGGGTATCGGCGGGGGCACGCAAATCCCTCCCCCCCCCCTCCGGCACCCCGCATCTAATTTACGAAGAGCCACACGAGAACGCGGCGAACGGCTGAGCCGTGGGGCAGGGGCGGCGGGGGGAGGGGGGTGGGCGAGGTGCTCCTGAAGGGGGGGGAGACGGAAAAAACTCTATTTGTGCGAGAGGGCTCGGATCGATCGCAGGGCAATGAGAGTTTCCACTAAGTTCAGAGCCAATAAGTCAGTGTCACAAGCGGGGGAGAAAAAAAAAAAAAAAACCTCAGCGAAAATACAAACAGATCATTTTTCAGCAAAGTGCGGAACGAACAAAGATCTCGTGGCCGGGGATGCGCACAAGGTTAGGGCCGGGCGGTAGGACGCCGCGGCACAGCTCTATCAGCGGGCTGCGGGTGAAGCCGGGCGGCTGCCGCAGGTGCACGCTCGGAAAGCCGCCCGTTATTGCTCGGTGCGGGGAAGAGGAGCCGGGAAATCGGCGATGTGGCCCCGAGCGAGGGAGAGCAGGGTTTTGTGCAGAAAGGGAGAAACGGGGAAACATGGAGTGTTTTGAATTTTCCCTCGACCAATTCCCACTGATGTAGAATCGTGCGGAGAAAAGAAAAAATTCCATATATTAAAAGAGAAAGAAAGGGGAAAAAAAAAAAAAAAAGATGCAAAAGCAAAACAACAACAATAACATCAAAAAGGATTCACGAGAGTCTGACAGATTTTTTTTTTTTTTTCCCCCTGGGTGATTTTTCTTTTAAAGATCGAAAGCCGAGGGGAGAGCTCCGTGCAGGCGAGCTCCGGCCGCGGGACACACGGCCATCCCCGCTCTCGCCTTCCCTCTCCGTCCTTCCCTTCTCCTTCTCCTTTTCTGTCTGAATCCCTTCAACGCGCATCCGAAAATAACCGGAGACAGCGCGCTGTGCGGGGACACGCTGCGGGCTGGGGGAGGGCGGGGTCGCCGGTAACTGTAATTGACAATGCGATAGAAAATCGTGGAAAGCAAATTAAAAGGGAGAGGGAAAGCGCCGGAGTAGAAAGTGGGGGGACTGCGGCAGGGGCCGTCCGGGGCCGCCGAGCGGCTCCGGAGTTTGGGAGCGGAGCCGTTCCCAGCTCCCGGGGCCGGCGCTCAGCCCGACCTCGGCCGGTGACAACGGCCCCGGGGAACCGCTCCGCGTCCCGGGCTGGGGAGCGGGCGCGGCGTGCGGGGCTGTGCGGGCGGCTCGGGAAATGCACGGGGCCCCGAGCGATGTGCCACCCCACGGCCCGCGTCCAGCTCTGCTCCTTTCTTCCTCTTTCTTTCTCTTCTTCTTTTCTCTGTTTCTTTCTCTCTCCCTCTCTTTCTTTATCTCCTTCTTTCTTTCTTTCCTTCTCTGTATTTCTGTCTTTCTGTCTCTGTCTTTTTGTCTCTCTGTCTTTCCACCTTTCTCATTTTTTAATTTCCTCCTTTCTCTGTCCTGCCTTCTTCTCTTCCTTCCTCCCTTCATTTCTTCCCATCCCCTCTCTTTCTCCCTTTTTTCCCATCTCCTCCATCCTGTGCCCCCCTGACCCTCACCCTCACGCACCCGCAGCGAGCGGAGATTATTTTTGCAGCGCGCGTGGCAAAGAGCTCCCGACTAACGGTGTCTTTCTGGGGTGCGTGGGTTGTTGTGTTTTTTTTTATTTCTCTTTCCCCAGCAGGGCACGGGGGTGTGAACCAGCTCGGGGGGGTGTTTGTGAACGGCAGGCCCTTACCTGACGTGGTGAGACAAAGGATAGTGGAGCTGGCTCACCAGGGGGTGCGACCCTGTGACATTTCCAGGCAGCTGCGGGTCAGCCACGGCTGTGTCAGCAAGATCCTGGGCAGGTAAGGATCGCGCCAGCCCCCGCTCCCTCCCCCGCGCCGCGGCTGCCCGCCGTCTCCCGCCGCTCCCCGCAGCCCCGGCACGCCGAGCCCCGTCGCACAGGGAGGACGCGCCGGGCCGGGGGCTGCGGGAAGGAACGGCTGCGGAGGGGGCGGCGGGAGGGACAAGGGACGGGGGAAGGGGAGGCGGGGGGAGACAAAAAAAAAAAGGGGGGGGGGGGGAAAGGACGATAGAAGAGCGACAAAGAAAAAAAAAAACAAAACAACAAACAAACCGAAACCCATCAACAAAAACCCCAACTCGTACGATCCGTAGGCGGCCTTAGTAAATGCACGGGTAAATAAATAAACATCAGAGCAAGGAAATAAATCTCCGCCACCAAATGCGGTGCGCGGCATCCCGGGGCCGAACCGCGGGGCCACGAGCGCGGAATGCGGCGAGAGGCGCTGCCGGGGTGCGCTGCGGGGCCGTGCGGGGCTGCAGGCGGGGGTGGGGGGCACAGACGGACAGCGCTACCGCACGGCTCTGCCCGCGGCCCGGCCCGGCCCCGCGCTCGGCCGGGGGTCTCCGGTTTGTTTGCCGGTGCCCGGGCCTGAAAGGCGTGTGTGAGAGCACGGCGGGGAAGGCAGCAAATAAGTCAGCGCTGCTGGCGCCTCAAAAACACACTCATTGGAAAAAAAAAAAAAA